CGCTACTAGGAGCAGGGACGCTACTAGGGCCTCCTGGCCTTACTACTTTTGGAACAAGAAGCTACTAGGAGCAAGGACGCTATTAGGGGCTCCTGGCCTTACTACTAGGAACAAGAAGCTACTAGTAGCAAGGGCTTCGCTACTAGGAGCAAGGACGCTATTAGGGGCTCCTGGCCTTACTACTAGGAACAAGAAGCTACTAGTAGCAAGGGCATCGCTACTAGGAGCAAGGACGCCATTAGGGGCTCCTGGCCTTACTACTAGGAACAAGAAGCTACTAGTAGCAAGGGCATCGCTACTAGGAGCAAGGACGCTATAAGGGGCTCCTGGCCTTACTACTAGGAACAAGAAGCTACAAGTAGCAAGAGCATCGCTACTAGGAGCAAGGACGCTATGAGGGGCTCCTGGCCTTACCACTAGGAACAGGAAGCTACTAGTAGCAAGGGCATCGCTACTAGGAGCAAGGACGCTATTAGGGGCTCCTGGCCTTACTACTAGGAACAAGAAGCTACTAGTAGCAAGGGCATCGCTACTAGGAGCAAGGATGCTAAAGGGGCTCCTGGCCTTACTAGGAACAAGAAGCTACTAGTAGCAAGGGCATCGCTACTAGGAGCAAGGACGCTATTAGGGGCTCCTGGCCTTACTAGGAACAAGAAGCTACTAGTAGCAAGGGCATCGCTACTAGGAGCAAGGAAACTATTACGGGTTCCTGGCCTTACTACTAGGAACAAGAAGCTACTAGTAGCAAGGGCATCGCTACTAGGAGCAAGGATGCTATTAGGGGCTCCTGGCCTTACTACTAGGAACAAGAAGCTACTAGTAGCAAGGGCATCGCTACTAGGAGCAAGGACGCTATAGGGGCTCCTGGCCTTACTAGGAACAAGAAGCTACTGGTAGCACGGGCATCGCTACTAGGAGCAAGGACGCTATTAGGGGCTCCTGGCCTCACTACTAGGAGCAAGGACGCTATTATTAGGGGCTCCTTGCCTTACTACTAGGAACAGGCCTCAGTACTAGGAGCAAGGACGCTATTAGGGGCTCCTGGCGTCACTACTAGGAGCAAGGACGCTATTATTAGGGGCTCCTTGCCTTACTACTAGGAACAAGAAGCTACTAGTAGC